GGAACAAAGCTAGTGAGTTGAGAGTCAGTTGAAAAAGAGGATTGGTAAAAATGGGGGGAGGGTGCTGTGCTAGTATCTTGCACTGAGATAATTGATTGATACATAGCTCTCAGGACTTATAAACTGCTACTGACTGTTCTTAAGGGAAATGGGCCTGTATTTGACCCAAAGTATGTTTCTATGTCTTTTCACAGTTAATTTTATAGAGAGCTTAAGGTCCTCAATCATAAGTGTGTCAAATCCATAGTAGTAAATATAGGAAAAATCTGAGTATGCTGGAGGCAGGACAGGAATCCATTTAATGCCACAAGATGACTCTTACTATAAACTGGTCCAGAACACCTTCAAAGCTAAGCAATTATTACTCGGGAAAAGAGGCTAAGGAGAAAAACCATGATGTTGGGGGTAAAGAGAATAAAGCACCATAAGAATATAACTGACAACTTCCTTTTTATTCCTGTTTTGGCTGCCAAATTATAATAAGGCAAGTGCCCAGAGAAGCATTGTCACATAGGAGCATTAGGCAGTGGGTACCGAATAACCTTATTGCTTGTACCAAAAGCACAGCCAAATTATAACTGTGCTGTTTTGGGTGCTTTTGGTGGGTCTGCATAGACCACAGTCCTTCCATACAATGGTTCTTAGAGTGTGGTCCATGGGCCAACAGCATCAGCATTACCTAGAAACTTGTTAGAAATGTATATTCTCAAGCTCTCCCCCAGACCTATGGAATCAGGAAGTCTAGAGTGGGGGACTGGGAAGTACGTGTTTTAAAACTAGCCCTCTGAGTGTATTCAAATTTTTAAAATCATTGATCTCATAGTAAGGACTCTGCCAGGCAACCAAGAATCTATTGAGCCACAGTTAGACAGTGTTGGGTTCAGCTTAGGGTACCATTTCTAACAATGTAGGATCGGCTAGAATGGTCTTTGATCCTGTTAATATAATGGCAGGTAATGTTTCTAAATCTTCTTCAACAGTGTTCATATTTTGCTTACTACTAATATGAACAACACTACCCCATCTAACATTAATTATGATAATTAATGAAATCCCCAGTGTAATAGGAGCTAAATATAGCTGTAGCACTTTATGGTGGCCGCCTCTCAAGTGAGGCTTTTTGATTAATTGCTAGCCAGCCACCCCTGGAGTATGCATTCCTGATTAAGACAACTGACCGCCTATACAGTGTAGCTTAAACTAACGTACTCATACATCATGTTGTACTGTCTACATGAAAGTGATTTTTTTACACTGAAAATTGACATTTTTAAAACATAATTTAAACACCATAAAACTCTTCCATTTTAAGTATACAGTTTTGGCAAGTCATGTAACCACTACACCAATCACAATACATACTGTAATCACCTAGATTATATCTGTTGGGTCCTTTGAGTAAAAATTTCCACTTCCATGCCACAGTAGGTTACCATTTATCCATAGGTAGATTTAGCATGTTTTATAATTTTATGGAAATTATTTATATAATTTTGTTTTGTGTTTGTTTTGTTTTTTCAAGACAGGGTTTCTCTGTGTAGCTTTGTGCCTTTCCTGGAACTCGCTTTGGAGACCAGGCTGGCCTCGAACTCAGAGAGATCCACCTGCCTCTGCCTCCTGAGTGCTGGAATTAAAGGCATGCGCCACCACCGCCGCCGCCTGGCTTATTTATATAAATTTTATGTAAAAGCCAGTTGATTGATTTTTTTTGTTACATTCTCAGTAATTATTTTCCTTTTATTGTATGTCAGTGTCTATTATGTGACTACCACAGGTTGTTTATTTGTTATTCTACTGCTTTGTTCCCAGTTTGAGGATGTTATGAATAAAGCTGTGGACATTCATGTTCCAGGCTTTTTGTGAGCATGTATTTTTATAAATATATATGAATGTGGGTCATAAGATATATGTGTACTTAATTTCATAAGAAACTCCTAATCTGGGGCTGGAGAGATGGCTCAGAGGTTTAGAGTACCCACATGGTGGCTCACAACCACTCATAACTCCATTTCCAGGGGATCTAGCACCCTCTTCTGGTCTCTGTAGGTACCAGACACACATGGGATATATAGACATACATGTATGCAAAACACTCATACACATTAAATAAATCTTTGAAGATAAAAGAAAAAGGAAGAAACTGCTCGTGTAACTTTCCAAAGCTGTACTGGTTTGTATTCCTACCAACACTGTAAGTGCTCTGGTTGTTCCATATTCTTGTCCTTATTTGTTATTGCCAGTCTTTACAAAATTATGGTGAATAATTTAAAATAACATATAGAAATTCTTTTCTTACCTCTAATTTCAATGTAGGCCATAATGTTTGGTTTCTCGAAAGAGCACAAAGCTAATAATGTTGATCCAGGTGACAGATATAGATTAAAATATTACTGTTTCCTTAGAGTAGGATTAGTGTTATGGATATCATTTGTCTGTGGCAATTATGTGTCTTCCTTTTGGTCATTTACTCAGTCAGTTCTCTGGCTGTATTAGCCCTGCTTTTTCAAACAGCAGTTGTATATTAAGTTGCTAAGAAATAGGACCTGTGGCCAAATTCTTCTCTTCAAGGAGCTTTGGGGAGCTGAGTTTCTAAAACAGACATACATAGAAACTCTAGAAATGTCACTATGATAAGGCTTGTGTAGACTTGAATAAGGGCACTGCCGGAATATAGCCTTCTGTTAGATGACTTGACTTTTAGGGACTTAAAAAAAGATGGCTGTAGAAAACAATAGGCTAAGTTGTTGAATTGTTACTCTGTGCTGAATATTGGAATTATACCTTAGACTTAAAGCTAATTATCAGAAAAACTTCCTCTTGTAGCAGATGGGAACAAATACAGAGACCCATAACCAGACATTAGGCAGAGAGAGAGAGAGAGAGAGAGAGAGAGAGAGAGAGAGAGAGAGAGA